CGTGGAAGCTGTAACCACCAGAAGTGCCACAGGGGTGGACTCATGCAAGCCCTTTGGAGCTCACAATGTGCCACAAGTTCCTTCAGCTGCTGCATGTGGAATTACAGGACATAACGTTAGCAACATTAGCAACGTTGGTCCCAATGCTCTGTGTCCCCCTGTTTGTACCTTTTGGAATGGTACAGCTTATTTTGTGCCATTAAATGTTGGAAGTGTTTAACTTTTCATTTCTATAGGGGCTCACAGCTGAGAGTTTGCCTTACATTTTGGGGGAGACTTGGGACTTGGATTCTTCAGCAATGGTGAAACTGTCAGGACATTGGCAACTCTTGCAGATGGACTAAATGCTGTTTGTATAAAGGGATGGGCATGACTTTGGGGGACCAGGGGGTGGAATGTTATGGTTTGCATCTGGGTGTCCCCCAAAAGCCTCACGCGTTTTTTATTATGGGTGTGAGAGCTACACCCGCCCTGGAGTGGATAGTTTGCATATGTAAGGGAGAGGAAGAGGGTGCTTCTGGCTATTTCCTCCCTTGTGTGTGTTTGTTGCTTTGCTGTGTTTGAACGCCATGAGCTGTAGCTCTCTGCCATGTGCCACTCTGCCTTGCAACTTGTCAAGTACGTACTGAAACCTCCACAAACTGTAAAAGAAATAAACCTTTCCTTCCTTAATTTTGGGCGTCAGGTATTTTGTCCGAGCAATGAGAGAAAAGTAAGCAAGACACACACTCAGCCACCTAATCTTTCATAAAGGGGCCAAACAAACTCACTGGAAGAATGAGAGCCTCTTTAATAAATGATGCTGGAAAAATTGGCTTGCTACCTGCCAAAGACTGAAAATAGACCCAAGTCTATCACCATGCACCAAACTCCAGTCAAAATGGGTCACAGATCTCAATATTAAAACAGAAACACTAAATCTATTGGAAGAGAAAATAGATAAAAACCTTGAAAACAGGGGTAGGCAGAGAGTTCATGAACAAAAACCAAATAGCACATGAAACACTTGAGAGAATCAACAACTGAGATCTCATCCTACGGAAAAGCTTCTGCACATCTAAAGGAATCACCAGCAGAGCAAAAAGAAAACCCACAAACTTGGAAAAAATTTTAGCTGACTGTCCCTCACACAAAGGGCTTCTATCTAGAACATATAAAGAATTAAAAAACATGAGCCCTCCCCAAATTCAAAGATCCAGTCCAAAAATGGGCAGCTGAGATGACTACATGCTTCTCAGATAAGGAGATACAAATGGCAAATAAATACATGAGAAAATGTTCAACATCATTAGTCATT